TGCGTCATCACCTTAACGACTGATCCATCAACTTAATAACTGGACCACTGCCTTGCATTGACTCTCCCTGAAACCACAAACCTACTCCCAGGTCCAGAGACGAAACCCAATATTTGAAAGATAAAGACCCTCCAAGAAACCAGCAACATGGAGACAAAGAACAGAATTGAAACCAGAAACTCCACTTTTGTATCCCACGAGACAATGAGGACACCTGGAATTGCATGAACTCATCTGAACAGGAATGGCCCTTGCCTGGGCATGTCCTTCCCATAGGAGACACAGGTGTCCTACCCCTATAAAAAGGGTGATAGAGTGTGACCTCCTTGGAATGCCCTCTCTTTCCAGACCAGCACTACACCACACCACCTTTCCACCCAGAGGCCCTGCCATTGACCCCCTCTGGACAACACCACCCTGGAGAAGACTTTGACTGGCCATCGAGGATCAACTCACATCCTGGATAGGTAGCTACCACCTACCTTCTTCCCCCAATTAGGGGACCTGAACTCTGTGCCTGCACATCTAGACCTCAAATCCCTCCTTTAAGCCTTTCCTCTCCTGCTACCATTGTGTGAGTGTGGGAGAGTTTGTGTGTGTGGGAACTAACAACTTTGTGGGCTGTATAGTGTGACACCTGTTTCATAAATTTGTTATTTTGGAACCCCAAGATGGGTTTTGTCTTACTGATCTCCTGGCCCTGCTCCAGTTTCTGCTTTTTGCCCCCCTGACCTTCCTCCAGTCTCTCTCTCTTTCTCTCTTCTTCCCCCTACTCTCTGATCTTTTAACCTCTGCTGTCTCCCAGCTCTCCCCAGTTCTGGCCTCTGCCTCCTAGCTGTCTAGAACCCCAAACAGCCTCCTGGTTTCAGCCCCGGTTCTGCCGTCTGCCTCCCGGCTCCAACCCTCGCTGTCTCCCAGCTTCTCTCTCTGCCCCCCGCACCCTCCCGGATTTTTTGTCTCCTGGCTCCTGACCTCCCAGCCTCCTCCTCCTCTAACTTTTACATCCCAGCTATCGGCTTTTTCCTTCACTGCCTCACACCTCGCCTCTCTGCTGCTCCTCCTGGCTTTTTTGACCAGCTTGGCTCTCTCTGCTTCCCTGGCTTGATCCCCTCGCCCCACTCTTTCACCTCCTCTGTCTCCCTGATTTCCTTCATCCCCAAGCAACCTTGAGCACCAGGTGACCCCAGGTATTCCCTAGTGTTAACACACAGCCACCACTGAAGTTTGTGTTTGTGTGTATGTGGATTCATAGTGTCATATGTGTAGCTTGTGTGTGTGTGTGTGTGTGTGTATAAAATTATGTCATGCCCTCCTGCTTAACAGTGCAATATTGAGATCCAGAGCGTTATTTTGATGCATGTCAAGTCAACAATGTCCGACCAAATGAGCTTGTAAAAGTAAATGACTCTCCAGAAACTGGTGAAATCATGTGATAATACTTGGAAAATGGCAGAGGACTATCATAAGAAAAACATCAGTGAGCACATCTATACATGCATTTTCTCCAGCCCAAATTTTCTCTAGTGTAAGCTACTCTGGAGTAAGGGATTTTGGGCAGGCTTCTACTCAGACAGAGACTAGGGAGAAAGTTTGCACCAAGTTCCCTGCAGCCCTGCAGTGGGCCCCTGTTGCCACCCAGGGGTGGAACTTGAGACTTTTCCTGGGTGTTAGCCCAGGGGTTGGCAGACAGCACCAGGCCAGGAAACCGCAATCTCTGGGAGCCAGGCTGCAGCCTGCTGCTTGGGCAGGGATAATGTCCCATTGCCCCTTCTGCAGCGAGCTCCCGGTCCTGGCTTCCTAATCAGGGCAAGAGTCTTTGAAACATCTGCAAGGGAGGAGCAGGGCCCTGCCGCCTGTCCCAATTCACCAGCGGGGCAGCTAGCAGCAGATCAGGGCAGGTTTGGGGGCTGGGACCTATCTCACCACTGCACCTCTTTCCAAGCCCTATGCCTCAATCACTCTATCGGAGTATGGGGCTGGGAAATAGCCCTGACCGGGACACTTCCTGGCCAGCCTTGGGATGCATGGAGAAGTCTGCATGTGCAGCCCATAGCTGGCTGAGACTGCGTGAAACAGTACAGTCCCCAGCCACCTGCAAGCTACATGTGCTTCCCAGCATGGCCTGTGGGTGGATGAAAACTGTCCTGGTCAGAGGTGTGTCGCTGACAACTCCAGGCTTGGAACAGAACTGTCCCCATGCAGGGAGCTCCCTTGTGATCAGGGAGTGGTGGCTGGAAGCTCCCTACTGCCAGGGCAAGAGAACATTGTCCCCACCTGGACACACAGGGCAGGGGCAAGAGACCTTGTTCCCCTCCCAGCTCTGCACTCACAGAACTGGGCAGGGAACAGCATCCCCAGCCCCCATCAGCAGGGAGGTTCTAGCACTGGCTCCGGGACTGCAGGGCCACTGCTGGGAGACACTTATCTCCTAGCAGCATCTTCACAGCCACAGCGCCACTGCTAGGAGATAAGCATCTCCCAGGAGCAGCCCAAGGTCATGGAGCTGGCACTGGGAGAGAAGCACGGAGAACACAAGGTATATGGCACCACTTAACACACAGCTGCACTCATCTGGACAGAGCCTGAATGTTGCATCCTTTTGACTCTCTTTTCCTACATTTGAACACTGAGTGTGATGGCATGAATAAGTTAGCTCCATAGGCACATGAAGTGAAAAATTAAGAACATAACAGCCCCAACCTTATTCAAACAAAGAAAAGTGAAATGAAGAAAACAACAGACCTGGCATATCACCAGCTCTTTTTTTCTCAAATAGCTAAATAGGAAAGAAAATGCATTTAAAAATTGATCGAAATTCATGATAGAGGTCATAGCACACAAAGACTGGCTTAAAAATGACAGAACTCAGTCTAAGATTCCTGCCTCCGATCCCTCAGCCAAAGGGTGAACCTGTTGTTTTCAATACTGATATAAACTATGCCACATACAGACAACTGCATAACTTAGACTGATTTTGAATGTCTTGGACTCTTTGAATGTCTATATCTAGCCTATGTGTCTGTCGTTTTAAGCAGCAGCTAAGCAGAGGTTTTCAGAGTTGCAATTTTGGATTTAGGGTCTAACTGTCAAATTCTAATCTTTTCTGGTTTTCTAAGTAGCCATTTCTTGTTTGGCTGCATGAGTTCTCAGTATTTTTAATGCAGACTTACGCACCCAGTGGCATTCTCTTTCAAGAAACATAGCCCTGTGTGCATGAACCATTATGCACAGCTGCACAGTTGCACAGCCTGAGCATGTAGAATAGCATCCAAGGCTCAGAGAGACTTCCTTTCTGGACATGTTGTGACTCCTGGACTTATCCTCAGGAACAGAAAATGGCCCCCTGGTCTGCTTTTGCCCTTTAGAGCTCCATGACTGTGACATTCATCTGGAAAGCCAAGTGGTTAGGTCCTGGACCCTGTCCCCTCCCCAACCAGATAGAGCTAGAAC